AAGAGAAGAGAAGTGAAAGGTAAAGGAGAAAAGGAAAGATATTCCCATTTGAATGCAGAGTTCCAAAGAATAACAAGGAGAGATAAGAAAGCCTTCCTCAGTGATCAATGCAAAGAAATAGAGGAAAACAATAGAATGGGAAAGTCGAGAGATCTCCACAATGTATACATGCACTAAATCATTGCAATAGATAGTTTAAATAACTTATAATTTTATTTGTCAATTATACCTCAATAAAATGCAAAAGATGCTTACTCCTTGGAAGGAAAGTTATGACCAACCTAGACAGCATATTAAAAAGCAGAGACATTACTTTGCCAATAAAGGTCCATCTGGTCAAGGCTATGGTTTTTCCAGTGGTCATGTATGGATGTGAGAGTTGGACGGTGAAGAAAGCTGAGTGCCGAAAAATTGATGCTTTTGAACCGTGGTATAGAGAAGACTCTTGAGAGTCCGTTGGACTGCGAGGAGATCCATCCAGTCCATCCTGAAGGAGATAAGTCCTGGGTGTTTATTGGAAGGACTGATGCTGAAGCTGAACCTCCAATACATTGGCCACCTCATGCGAAGAGTTGACTCATTGGAAAAGACCCTGATGCTGGGTGGGATTGGGGGAAGGAGAAGGGGACGACAGAGGATGAGATGGCTGGATGGCATCACCGACTCGATGGGCACGAGTTTGAGTAGACTCCGGGAGTTTGTGATGGACAGGGAGGCCTGGCGTGCTGCAATTCATGGGGTCGCAAAGAGTCGGACACGACTGAGCAACTGAACTGAAGTGCAAAAATACAAGAAATTCTGCGATTATATCAACATAAAATATTTTAAGAATACATTATTTAAATTTTATTGTTTATTTTGGATATATATGAAAAGACAGCTGTGTGGTATATGACACTAATTCAAAGATTCCTATTAGCCTTGATTATCCAATTTATGGAAAATATTACTCAATAATATTAAAAGGCTACAATATTCAAACAATTAATGCAGATGTTTTTCTGCTCTGTTTTTCAGAAATTTGATGAAAAGCAATCTCTAATGTCTCTTAATGCCTTTAAATGCCATGATTTTGGGCATACCTAAAGGCAGGTTTGTGCTTTACAATTAAGAAAAAGAAAATGACACTGTATTGTTGGAGAAGATTCTTGAGAGTCCCTTGGACAGTGAAGAGATCCAATCAGTCCATCCTAAAGGAAATCAGTCCTGAATACTCTTTGGAGGGATTGATGCTGAAGCTGAAACTGCAATCCTTTGGCCACCTGATGTGAAGAACTGACTCATTGGAAAAGACACTGATGCTGGGAAGGATTGAAGGCAAAAGGAGAAGCGGGCAACAGAGGAGGAGATGGTTGGATGACATCACTGATTCAATGCACATGAACTTGGGCAAACTCTGGGAGATTATGAGGGATGTGGAAGCCTGGCGTGCCGCAGTTCATGGGGTCATGAAGAGTCAGGCAGGACTCAGGGACTGAGCAACAAAGGCAGATGTGTGCTTTACAATAAAAAAATAAATGGCACTGAATTTCTTTCCTGCGTGGAAACTCCATAGCTCTTAGAGTTATTCAGTCAACTGTTTAAAGTTAGAATAGTTACAAACATGAAATGTTAGTTTTCAAGTGTTCGCACATGTATCACTTTTTTGGGTGCTAATACTCAAGTGTTGCATGCCCGGCCGTTACTACTATTCTGAGAAGCTCTCTGACCGGCCTAGGCTAGCAAGGCTTTACAGGAAGAGCCAGAAGTGGACCTGGGGTTTTGCTAGGTTTCAGAGAAGTGAGGCTGATGATTGACTTTTCTCAGGAAAGCAAACAAGTATGTACGTTGTTTTGGAAACAACCCCCACCCAATAAAAATAATACAAACAACAGGTGCAATTCTACCAGTGGCTTAGCCTTGAGTTAAAATGGAAGCAGAGAGGAAAAGAAGGTAGGTTGACCTTAAAGATGAACCAATGTCTTTTCAGTGTAAAATCTTACATAGACACTCACTATACAGTCTGTGGAACTGTGGCTATAAAGAGCTTAGCTTTACCAGGTATAGACGACAGAAAGGATAATGGAGTCAAAGATAATAGTGTGTGAAAAGGTTCGGAGGTGGGAAAAAAAATTGTGTTAAGGTAAGAGTGAAGGACACTCTGACTGAAGCAGAGGGTGGGTGAATTTGAAAGGTAAGCTGGGGATAAAATGGAAAGACAGGTGGGATAGACTTCTGAAGACTCTGAATGTCATTTAGAGGAGATTGAATTTCATTTCTGAAAAGTCACTTATCAAATAATATACCAAAGAACTGTTTAAAACTTGTAGGAATAAGAATCTTTGTAGTTCTTATCGCAGTGCTCAGAGTTTCAGTTACTTTTGTTAGATTAATACATTTTGCTCATGATTGGTCACATATATTTACAAAGGTTGACTGTGATTCCCACTGCATGAAGAGTCCATTAGAGCAGGCAGCTCAAAATAGTCCAAGGAGAAGGTGAATGCGGTGGGTGTTAATTTTATCTTCTACCAGTCGAACGCATCCTTTGCAACGTCTGCTGGTTAGCGCCTGCGCTCCATGCCACTCACAAAAGGCAGGATGGGGATTCCTGGTGGCTCAGATGGTAAAGAGTCTGCCTGCAATGCGGGACACTGGGTTGGGAAGATCCCCTGGAGAAGAGAATAGCGACCCACTTCAGTATTCTTGCCTGGAGAATCCCATGGACAGAGAAGCCTGGTGGGCCACACTCCATGGATCACAAGGAGTCAGACATGACTGAGCGACTCACAGTTTCATTTAGACATAAATAAATAGGCAATTTATCATCTTTGTTTTTTGGTTTCTGATGCACTAGAAACACCAAATGGCTATCAACTTGCAGAAGATTTATTTTACCTAGCATCCTGCAAAATAAAATGCTAAATCAAGACTAAAAATAGGTTTAAATTGGATCACCTTAGAGCTCTCAAGTTTATAATTTTAGTATACCAGCTAGTTGAAACTTCTGCATCCAGACACTCCCAACCCCCAGTAATTTTGCTGACCCAAATTATCTTCCTTGGTTACTCTGTCCCTGCCTCTTCTGTTCTCTGCATGAACACACTCATCCTACTGACCGCCCAGTTCACCAGCTTTTCAGTACTAGTGCTGGGAGGAATCCTGTGCTCACGCTCAGGGATAATTTGTGGCTCTTTTTCTGGCATTCTTTTTTCCTTGGTGTATACCCTAACAATCTTCTTTTTTTAAAGCCAGCTCCAGAAATCTCAGCATCTTGGACACAATTTAGAATTCTCTGTTTGCTTTATGGATAGAGGATTTTGAAATCTGTGGACAAATATGCTGGAGTAAATAAGTCAAAATGCTGATGGTTAATTTGGGGCTTTTGAAAAACATATTATGGTCTAAAAACTGTCTTGAAGTTCCAATTTTGCTTAACTCGCATAAGAAAGTGCAATGAAAAACCAGTCAACAGTTTTCAAGACCACAAATCCAAAACGATTAAATATTTCACTTTGCAAATTCTAACTAGTGTTTATGTGAAAATTTGTGCTACTGTGCAAGTGCTTGCTATTGATGTGCTGTGTACTGTCTTCTAAAATTTTTAATTAATGAAAACCCATTTTAAAACTTTCTGTGCAGAAATGGTAACAGTATGATGAATTCCAATACCAACAAAGCAATATTGTTGGTCTTGCTTAGTATAGAGTTTATTGAAAACTTTATCTGTATCATTGCTGTATCAAATGACTCGAAACCTAGTTACCAATCTTCTAACCACATATAACAGAAAAAGATAAATGGAAACAATTTAATGAATTGGAACAGGATCATAGTTTACTAATACAGATAATTATGCAGAATATAATCTCCATTAACCACAAACTACAACAGCACATAACTAATCACATTAAAGCAGAAAACTGGCCCAGATATGCCAACTCAGTAGCCTTTCTAATCCAACACTGACATAATTGAGCTCAGAGCCTAAGAGCACTTGCATTGCTGTTTGCCTGGATTTTCCAAACCATGTCAGTTCTTGATTCAGCGCCGCTATTGTGTGGATCAAATAATCCCTGGGCACAAAAATACGCTGGGGGAGTGACTCCCCTGGCGTCCAGGTTCTGAGTGTGGTCAGTCATTCCACATGCCTTAGGCGTGAGCTATCTTTACCATGATAAGATATTTCCTTTTCAAGTTTTGTAGTCCCCAAACACAAAATCCTAACATCAATAAAAGTCAAAGAAATTTAAAAAGTGTTATCTTACAACCCTGTTCAAGACATAACTGAAAATAGGTTTATCTCTTCTTGCTGTCTTTTTTTAAAAAATAAAATTAATACTGACTTGGAACCAAAAAAAAATTTATTTTACAATGTATTCTTAAAATTTTAAGTATCTACTACTCTGCTTCTTCAATGTGAACTACAACCAGATATTTAAAAATACATCTTTGACATGCGCACACTGTGTATACCAGTTCTATTCTCTTTCTGCATGGGTCATGTGCTATAAAACAATTTGGGAAGGGGAGAAAAAAAATACAAAGCAATTCTGGAAAACTTTCCCTCTCTTTTCTCCCAATCTTTCACTATGTCTTGGAAAATGAGGTCATACATTTTAAACAATATGACTCCCTTATATTCCTGGCCCTCCAACACTCCAGAATGTTCTGGACTTTTCGTGAGCAGAGGTACAGCTCACGGAGTCTGTAGATCAGAACCGGGCTCCTGCTCCGCAGTAACCTGGGTCCAGTCCTCAACTAGATCCCCGAGATCCAGCCCTCGACGTCCTGCAGACCGAGGGGACCCACGAGGTCAAGAAACGTCTGGTTCCGGGGACCTGGCAGCATCTCTCTCTTAAGGATACCGGAGTTGAGAGAACCTGCCCTCCTGCCTGCTTCTTCCCATCCTTTGCGCCTAGGATTTTGCAAGTTGCCTGCGAAGGAGTCAAACATGGGTCAGGCAAACGTGTTCTTTCCAGCCACGGTAACCGGATCGCTGGAGTGAAATCAACCCGCAGAAGCATCCAGAGACCGCAGCCCGCCAGCCAGACAGGCAGCCTGCGCCGAAAGCAACCACCAAGCGAGGCTGCAAGCGCCAGCCAAAGGGGCGCAGCTTTCAGTTTGGAGGCGAAAGCGCAACGACCGCGCCCCCCGAAAAAAAGTGGCGGCGGGGGTGGGGGTAGGATTGGAGGAGGGGGGTCGAGAGCGCCGGCCTCTGCACTTCGGCTCTGGGGTGGGGGGGCCTGGCTCTTTGGGACCCGGGAGGGAGCCGCCCTTCCAGGGCCAGGGGCGGGGGCCCGTCTCCCCCCATCCCGACAGCTGTCCAGCCCGCGGAATTCATTGGCTTCCCCCAGCCCGCCTCCCGAGCACCGCCCTGGTCTCTTTAGCCCCCCGCCCCACCCTCGCTGACCTAATAAGGCCATGCAAGAATGAGGGGGCCCGGCATAAAAGGGGCGCCGGCGGGCCGCGCACGGCGGGAGCGGAGGCAGCGCCGCGCACCGCCATGGCCAAGGAGTGGGGCTACGCCGACCACAACGGTGAGTGTCCGGCGGCCCGCCGGGGCGCGGGGTCGGGGGCGCTCGCCCCACCGGGCCCTTCCCTAGGGCCCCGCACGCCCCGGCTCACCTTAATCGCGTTCATCTCGCCCTCTCCTGGAGCCGCTGGTATGCCCACTGCAGGAACCGGTAATGTGCCCAGATCTCAGTGCCTCTGACGGAGAAGCCCACCCACCCAGCGCCGCTTCTGGGGGCCCCCCTGTCTCGGAGACTGGCTGGGCAAGCTCTTCTTCACCTCTCTGAGCCTGCTCTGCCTGCAGCTTCTGCCTCCCCGTGGGGAAAGGGATACGGAGATGCTCTGAAACCCACTCCGCGTCAGCGCTGTTTGATTCCAGCTCTGTGACAGGAGAGGGCACTGGTGAAACATGCGATGAAGTTCACTTCAAAAATAAGTCTTTCAGGCTGTATCTGAGCCAGCACAGGGGCGCTTCGGGAAAATACACAGAGTTAAATAGCCTCACAGGTACACTGTTAACGAACTACGGACGGGTCTTGACCAACAAGCCTTGTGTTGCCCAATCTGCTATCCAAGACCTTTTCCTAATCACTGTCCAGCCTTGTGTATTTGGCTGGTTTAGTCACTCAGAGAGAGGCCTTGGATTGCGCCACCAGATAAATGAATCCCCTCAATTTGAATTCCTAGGTCCTGACCATTGGCACGAACTTTACCCGATTGCCAAGGGAGAGAACCAGTCGCCCATTGAGCTGAACACTAAAGAGATTAACCACGACCCTTCCCTGAAGCCATGGACAGCATCCTATGACCCAGGTTCTGCCAAGACCATCCTGAATAATGGGAAGACCTGCAGGGTTGTGTTTGATGATACTTACGACAGGTCAAGTAAGTATGACACCTAGGTAGAGACACAAGGACATTTTCAAATTGGCAAAATGTGATTTGTCACAGCAACAGAATCGGTGGGACAAGGGGGCACTTCTTATCTGAAAATGGAGATGACACTTGACTTTGCTCTCATCTGAAGGATTATATTTATACAGTGAAGTAGAATGTCTCACTCTTTAACCCCGGTCACGCTGGCTGCTCCAAAATGGCCCCATGCCCAAGCTAAAAGTTGGCAGTGTTCCCCTGAAATGAAGCTTAGTAGGGAGGTGATGGTAATGGGTCCAAAGGAGTGTTCTTTGGGCTCTGATGGTCTATGCTTGAGGGGGGGTTTGCATCCTAATGGCATACTGGAGAGCAAGGCTCCCATTCTCAGATGTGGCATAGGTTGCATCCTACAGAGTAAGAAACGGCAAGGAATAAGTAGGTACTCTCTTCTCCTGGGGTGTGAGTGGGGCCAATTCCGGGGAGCGAGCAGACCCATGGTATGAGCAAGAAGACGGGCCTTCGGTGGGGCTCTCCTGACTAATCATTTTGGTGAGGGCTTTTGAAGACTGACAATTTCTCCTTGAGTTCTGGTTTGTATTTGTCCATGGGGTTGCAAAGAGTTGGATGCCACTGAGTGAATGAACTGAGCTGAACAGAACTGAACTGAAAATGGAAAGTTGCATGTTTAAAAAAAAGTATTTCATCTATAACCATTAAGCAAATCAGTGAACTAAAAGAAGGCTAATTAGAAGTACTTTATTTTCTGTGAATGAGCTAAGAATCTACCTTTAGCATTTTGGTACTAGATATACAATATATATTTTCCTATAACCACATTTGTAAAAAAGTTAAAATTATCCTTACTGATGTACATGAATGAATATTCTCAGTGATCCTGTAATTAAAGAGTAAAAGCTATAATTTCTACCTACTAGCAGGTTCCAGGTAAGGAATATCATAGAAATGTATATTCTTTAAATAATTATCTCATTGGTATCTGTTATTTTTTCCTCCATTTAAATCAAGTTCCATTCTGAAGGATAAGTAATAAAATTAAACAGGATCTCTTAGGTTGAATCACATGAAGAAGGCTTTTTGTAAGCAAATATGATTGAATATTGACACTTTCATATGATTCATCCTAATAAACTGGACTCATATAACTGAATTATAACTGTTCCTAGTGGATGGTGAAAGTGCAAAGAACAATTAATCAAACAGAAAAATGCAATTAAAACACTCATTCCTACGTGACCAAGCTCATGCTAGTCTTGTTCTATCAGTTTAGAACTATCCTATGACTTTTAGTCTGCCATTTCAACACCAACAGTTGATCTATCTTTTCTAGAATAGCTATCTTCTGAATTCCATTTTGATTTAGCTTACACTGGTAAATTCTGATTTTAGGGCTTCTGTATAGTTTCCAATATCCTTTAGAAAATATTTGAACTTCTAAATCACTCTCCAGGCTGAATGAAGTGAAAGCGAGTTAAGTGCCAAGTTGAGATATTTGGACAGCAAACTCACATTCATACTACGGAGAATCATCTCGTGTAAGGGTCAGCATTGATTGATTCCCTGGGAAACCTCAGAGTTTTCCATTCCATCTCATTTGAATAAACACAGTCTGAATTAGCTGTGGGTGTGAGCTCTTGTCTGTAGTCTTGAAGCAAAGTGTCGTTGGAGGCAAGACCCAGAGAAAGAATTCACATTTGCTCAGTGATGACTATGCCAGGCACTGTGATGAGCAGTTTAAAGTCCTTAATCTCATTTAATCCTCACAGCAGCTCTGAAAGGTTAGTATTATTATCACCTTTGGCAAGATGCAGAAACGGGTTCAGAGAAGTTTAGCAACTTGCCTGAGACCACACAACTCGCAAGGGGTGGGGGTGGGATTGGAACCTGAGTCTGCCCTGCTCTCAACTGTCCTGTTCTCCCCAGTGCGGCTCACAACAAATTTTGATTTTGATTTTAGGGTTTAGTTGTTTTCATTGCCCATCTGCTGGCTTAATTTTATTTTCACGCTTGTGAAACTGACATGTAAAAATCACAAAACAAGCAGACAAAATCAGAAAGACAGCGAAGAGAAAGGATTTATTTTGACACACCCCAAGGCTTCACTTTGTGAGACAGAGACCAGTGTACTCGGGAATGCCACCACCAGCCCAGCCCAGCCCAGCCAGCTTTGGCTCTAAGGTAGCTGTGTAAAGCAGGGCTGTGTCAGAGAAGTTCGAGCTCCCTGCTGACCTAGCTTCTCTGGCTCGCAGTGCTGAGAGGTGGTCCTCTCACTGCGCCCTACCGGCTCCGCCAGTTCCACCTCCACTGGGGCTCCTCGGACGATCACGGCTCGGAGCACAGCGTGGATGGAGTCAAGTACGCAGCAGAGGTAAGAGGACCTGCCGGGACCGCTCTGCATCTCATCCAGCGAGAACTGAGCTGACAGATAACGACGGAAGAGCATCCACTGCATGTCCTTCAAGCCTGTAGTTACGAAAGAGCTGCAGGAGTTTTAGCATAAACTGAAGCTGCCAGACAGTCTGGGTTAGACAGTTAAGAGGGTGGAGGTGAGTTAGTCACATGCCCGAAGACTTGCAAGGTTATATTTAGAAAGTGGATGGCTGCTTAATAATAATAATTTTATAAAACCAGGGCTCTGAAGAAGGGGAGTCAATGCTTATTAGGTGCCTGCAGGTATTAACCATGTGATCCTCTCGGCATGCTATGGGGTGGGCTGCAGGTGAGGAAACTGACGTGCCAGAAGGTTACATAACAAAGTCACACAGCCCATGGTGCTAGACTGGTGCTCTGCTTCATGCTGATTGGCTTCATCATCCTGCCCAGTGCCCTAAGCCTCCTCTTTTATGAGAGTGTGGTGCTTTAAAAATAGCACTTAGCAATGCTAGCTGATGCCCAAGGCTCTAGTCTCTTAAGGAAGGGGGTGCGTCGGTATAGGTATACGTGTGATTTTATATGTACATGTGGACTTATGCACGCAGAGAGCTAGCTAGCTACAGATACACACAATTTAAAATGAGCAGATACTATATACTCTGTTCCTGAGAACCCATTAAAGGAAGCACATGATTTGTAGCTCAGATCAAGGCATCATATTACAAGGAAATAAGACAAGCCTCCGGCATGCTCTCTGTATAAAGCCAAGCCTATAAGGGGCGACGCATGCCCTGGAGGTGAGGATAATTCCATTCGCACTGCCAGACTCTTCCAGAGGCAGGCTGTGGTCAACAGGGGAGCCAGGAACCTTGGAGCCATTTGTGGACACTCTCTCATGCAGAATCATAAGACAGCTTAACTCAACTTAACAAACAGCTCAACTGAACTGTGAGAGACCCAGAGTACTTCCCTGTGACCATTCTGCATCTCTACAGGCCATCCAGACAGCCAATGACGGGATAAACCAATTGAGAATGCCTTTCAGACGTCTTTTCCCACAAAAGGGGGGAAATGTAGTATATTCCTTCCCAATAGGACCAAGGCTTGCAGTTTGGTCTTGACACACAGGATTATCACACAGTTTTGTTCCTGAAAACAGTATTTTTAAACTGCCATGAACTATGGTATTCTCTTGCCATTCTGTATAACTCAATGTGGAAATTTTGACTAATTTAACTAGTGCATATGTAAGCACCTTAGCCTTATTAAGATAAGGTTACCAACTGGTTCTACTGCACGTGTTGCTGAGAGAGGCATGAAAAAATACAACAGTTTGTCCCCTTATTTTTCCTCTCCTACTTCCCAGTTAATTGTGACTTTAAAGTGTTAGCAGATTCCTTTTTATAGCTCTGTGTTTGATTTGGTCAGAAAGAGGACTAATATTATACAAAGGTAACATAATATTATGAATTGATTTAGTGACAGTTTGGTTTTCACCAATTCTACCTGTCATAACTTTTTATTTGAACCATCAAAGTCTTGCCAAAACATTGCATGTTAACTTTTAGAATTCTGTCAACTTCTATGAGAGTGTTCAGCAATCTTAGACTCTAAAATTGTTGGGTTTATTGTGAATAATTTCACACTTATTTCCTTATTTTAGGCATGTACCTCCTAACCTCTGTTCTATGGTTTCAGCTTCATTTGGTTCACTGGAATTCAAAGTATAACAGTTTTGCAAGTGCTCTGAAGCATCCCGATGGAGTAGCTGTGGTTGGTGTTTTTCTGAAGGTAAGGTAAAAACTGAGTGCATATTTTTTTCAAAGTTTAGTTCCTTATCAATGCTTAGGTTTCACTTCATTTTATTTATAGGGGAGAGAGGAATGAAGTTCAGGATTCATTCAACTTATCAAGATATTTCCGATAAGATCAGCTCAAAAGGTTTTGTTCTCTCTGAAAAGAGTACCTTTTGCTACTTCGGTCCCCCTAGCCCTTCTAGATTTTCTCAAGGTGCAGGGTGTGTGTGTGTGTGTGTGTGTGTGTGTGTGTGTGTGTTGGGGCAGTGGGGATGGAGCCTTTGAAGAACCTTATTTCAGTGGCAGTGAAGGCAAGGGCAGCTTTATTCACTACCCTTTCCGGCTGCTCCACGTCAACTGCAGTGGAAACCAGAAAAGCCAGGGCTGGAAACCACTGCGATGCCAGGTCCCTGGCTGAACATCCTCTCAGCGCAGGGTGGCCACCACTCACATGATCCCAGGCTAAGATAGCACACGGAATGTGTGTGTAGTCGAGCCAGCCTTGGTTTAGAGAGGACTTAGTGTCATTAACACATGAATTTAGTGGTAACATGATCTAGATTTTAAGCCAGAGGTGAAAATCTGGCTTCTTTCTTTTTGAATGACCTAATTTGTTTTATGTTCTGAATTCACTGGGTCCTTTTCAGTGCTTGAACACAACACTACAGGAAGTGGAGTGGGTCCGAGCAGAAAGACAACAGGTTTAGTTTTGCACACATTGAGGCCTCTTAGCTACAATTATATTAAAAAGAAAAGCAGAATGACTTCACAGAGAACGTCAAGGACATAGATGTAAATCAACATGTAATTTTGTGGTTTTGTATTTCAGAGACCCAGAGTCCAAATTTAGTTCAGAAAATACATAGTCTAAAATTTTGGGGGAGGGATAAACTCATGTTTTTGCTTCATGCAATATATTCTGGCAGATTTAGAAACACCGGTTGTAGATGGATGGATTAAAATCAGCTTTTAAGACAATCCTAAATTATGGAGAAGAGAAAAATATAATCGTTAGTTTTCTCTCTCTTTCTTATTTTTACAGATAGGACGTGAGAAAGGCGAGTTCCAGCTGCTTCTTGATGCTCTGGACAAGATTAAGACGAAGGTAAAAAGTATCATCTTCCCTCTTAGAACATAAAACCAGGTTATGTCAGTTTTTTCTTTTTACATTTTTCAAGTGTGCTTCTTTCACCCAAAATCTGTTAGTAAACTGTTCGATGAATATGCTAGGCAGGCATATAAAAGCAAATGCTGTTATGCTTGTTTGTATATTTTTATGGTTTGTTGGTGTTAGAGCAGTTTCACATACTTAAGCTTGTTTAACCCTCATAGTCAACCTGTCAGATAATTATATTTTTAATGAAATGTTTGAGAGAGAAGTTGAGTGGTGTTCCTCTGCCCAACACACACACACACACACACACACTCTCTCTTACACACTTGCAGAGGTACTAAATGTCTGGGTCCTAGTATTTCCCTTCCTCTCCTGGATTGCACCTGTATATTTTAAATCTTAACAGTAAATTCTTCTACTTAACAGATTCACTTAATTCTTTGAGACTGTTCTAGTCAATCACTTTTAGTTTTACCACTAGGTAAAGTATTCTGAGGATGACAATTTATAAAAATAGAAGCCTGTTTTGTATCATCAAGAACCAGAGCACTAATATCTATGAAATATTTTCTGTTAGTTTACAATGAGTTTGTCCTTTTTCTTGAGAAACGGTAGATTTATAGTTCTACAGACAGTGGATAAGGAATAAAATATTACAATGACTGTGCCAAAGTCGTGTCGTGCAAACCTGCTCCCCCCACCCCCCACACCTTTTATTTCTAAAAGACACGGATTTGCTCCCAAGCTTGTTTCTCCGTTGCCCGCCCCCCCCCTCAAGCTGAGATGCGCGCCTGCTCACCGCCCCCCCCCCCCCAAGCTGAGATGCGCGGCTGCTCACCGCCTCCCCCCCAAGCTGAGATGCGCGGCTGCTCACCGCCCCCCCGCCAAGCTGAGATGCGCGGCTGCTCACCGCCCCCCCGCCCCAAGCTGAGATGCGCGGCTGCTCACCGCCCCCCCCCCAAGCTGAGATGCGCGGCTGCTCACCGCCCCCCCCCCAAAGCTGAGATGCGCGGCTGCTCACCGCCCCCCCGCCCCAAGCTGAGATGCGCGGCTGCTCACCGCCCCCCCCCCCAAGCTGAGATGCGCGGCTGCTCACCGCCCCCCCCCCCAAGCTGAGATGCGCGGCTGCTCACCGCCCCCCCCCCCCCCCCAAGCTGAGATGCGCGGCTGCTCACCCCGCTCTCTCGCAGGGCAAGGAGGCGCCCTTCAACAACTTCGACCCGTCGTGCCTGTTCCCCGCCTGCCGGGACTACTGGACCTACCACGGCTCCTTCACCACGCCGCCCTGCGAGGAGTGCATCGTGTGGCTGCTGCTCAAGGAGCCCATCACGGTCAGCTCCGACCAGGTGAGCGCCTGCCCGGGCGCGGGCCGCGGGGTCCGCGGCGCTCCGGGTCCGCGGGGCTCGGGGTCCACGGGGCGCCGGCGCTGACCGGAGAGCGTGTGTGTGTGAAAGGCGCTCAGTCCTGTCTGGCTCTTGGTGACCCCATGGACTGTAACCCGCCAGGCTCCTCTGACCGTGGGATTCTCCAGGCCAGAATCCTGGAGTGGGTAGCCTTTCCCTTCTCCAGGCGATCTTCCCGACCCAGGGATGGAACCCAGGTCTCCCACACTGCAGGCAGATTCTTTACCAGCTGAGCCAGCAGGGGAGGCGGAAGAGTAGACGCTGTGTGTGTGGAAGTCTCTGAAAATATAAAGCTGCTAAATAGATGCTTACCCAGTCTCTACCGCTGGAGCTTTCCTAGTTTGCCCTGGTTAATTACCATCAGCCTGTTTAACTTTCTAGAACTCAGCTTCCAGAGGGTACCAGGCTAAAATGCACAACAGTTAAAGATGGTTGTGGTGCTGAACAATGCCTCAGCATGTGCCCTGGAAACACTTAAGGGCTCAGATCCATGTGAGTTCAGTTCAGTTGCTCAGTCGTGTCCGACTCTTTGTGATCCTGCGGACTACAGCACGCCAGGCCTCCCTGTCCATCAGCAACTCCCAGAGCTTGCTCAAACTCGTGTCCATCGAGTTGGTGATGCCATCCAACCATCTCATCGTCCTTGCTAATTTGGAGAACCCCAAACACTGAGGACTGTTTAGCAGATGGGATGGTAAATACAGCCTTGGGGAAAGGATGGGAAGAGATTGAACATCTCGAGGTGTAGGCTTCCCTGGTGGCTCAGAATGTGAGGAATCTGCCTGACATGCAGGAGACCCGGGTTCGATCCCTGGGTCGGGAGAATCCCTGGAAAAGGGAATGGCAACCCACTCCAGTATTCTTGCCTGGAAGGTTCCATGGACAGAGGTGCCTGGTGGGCTACAGTCCATGGGTTGCAAGAGTCGGACACGACTAGTTCCTCAGTTTTACTGCTAAGGAGGCCGATGCTCGGAAAGGTTAGGTAATTTGCTCGTGACCACACAGCCAAGGGTAGCATCTGAGAGTCCACCTCCCCTCTGTCAGCTTTCCAATGCCTTTGGTCTCTCTGTTTAGGCTTCCCTTCGTGTAAATTACAGTTCATGCAAATTGGCCCCATTAACTTATGCAGTGCAGGCCAGTTGAGCTTATTACTTGCCCTGACACTGTCTTCTACTCTTATATAAGGGATAGATTTCAGGCCGATTCATCAGATTAAGATAATTGTTTCAGAATTCCAGATGAAAAGGTTTTAATCACAGGGCCTAGTGATCCTCTACAAAAGGAAGAAAAAGGTTTTTTTTTTGTTTTTTAAACCAAAACGAGGCTGTTCTTACTCGGGAACTAGCAACCAGTAACTCTGGACGGAACACCGGAGACCGGTTTTGTGGTTGGCGCGTTCAGAAAGCCGGCGCTCTCTCTGTAGCACGCTTGGCGTCCGCGCGCCCGAACGTGGTGTGACATCTCCCCTCCCGCCTGCAGATTGCCAAGCTGCGCACCCTCTGCTCCAGCGCGGAGAACGAGCCCCCCGTGCCCCTGGTGAGGAACTGGCGCCCCCCGCAGCCCATCAAGGGCAGGATCGTGAAGGCCTCCTTCAAGTGAGGCCGCTGGAGCTCGCCCTCTTCAGGAAAGGAAGCCGACCCTGCGGAGCTTGGCCCCTCGCCTCCTCTTGGTGCTTCTGACTCCGTATTCTCCAGGTCCGCCCTGTGTTTCCGCACAGAGCCGAGCAGATGAGAGATGCCATCCCCGGGAAATCAGAGCCACTGTTCCCAGGATCTGATGTGAGAGCGTTTGGCCTCTGTGATAATCACCTTACCTATAAAAGTAGCGTTTCTAGTAAGGTTTCAGAGAAGAAGAAGAAACGGGGTGAGGAGAGTAAAGATAGGGAAAAAGTGGCTCCTGGGCACCATTTCTGTGTCATCTTAAAGTTCACAGAACTTCCGTTTAACCTTTTCGTATGATGCATTATCCATCTTAAAGAAATAGTGAGTACTTCTGTGTGTGGGCATAGAGGGGTCTGCAGATCCTGTAGAAATTAAAGTGACCGTGAACATCAAGAATGGAGATGATTATGTGTTTTAACACTTAAATAAACCAATAAGAAGTGCATCACTTATTAACATTTAAAACCACTACAGAGATTGCCTGGTTTTGATTATCAATGAAAGTAAAAGACACTGACCAGGAATTTTTTTTAAAATTTGACCCATTATTTGAATGTTTTCTTCATGAAGATAGTTGACTTTATCCTGATATTTTTCTTTACCTGAAGGAGGGCCATTTATTTTTCATTTTACTACTTTTATCTTTGCATGCTTCTTAACGTAAAAAATGTCTCTGAGATATTTCCAATGTGAGGGTGGGATTAACGATTCCTAGATCTCGCAGGAGTGAAGGACTGCACTTGAAGTAAACACAGTTGTACTGATCTTCAAAACTAATAAAGACATGAATGCAGACACTTGAGAGCTGTATTTTTTGTGGAGGGGGAACTTTGTGAGTCTGTTTTCATAACTGAGGGGACTCGTTCTGAGTTTGACTGGAAGTTGCATTCCTCGTGGAGCAGCTGACACACTTCCTGGGGGCCTTCCAAGGAAACTGCAGACCAGAAGAGGTGGGTGTAGCCACAAATTTGACAGCGTGGACTGGTTAGGTTACGTGGCCCTTATCAGTACCATGGCTGCTAACTTAGGGGCATGGGATGAAGTCGGACTGTAGCCTTTATGTCGTTATTTTTTAAATGTGCATCGAGATGACGTCTGTCTGACACTGCAAACCTCCATACCTTTGAGACCTTCAAAAGTGAAATATCTTTAGACATAAAGTCCACTTTTGCCGTTAGTAGCCTTGATGAAATCTCATCACGTCACTGGCTAATCTGTTAACTTACTTTTGAAAATGGCAGCAGTAATTGAATTCCCCTAAGGAATGAGAATGGCATTGGGTCAGGAGAGTCCTGCAAAGCTGGAAGTCAAGTCACATGACAGAGTCCTGGGAGGCTAACCGTTATTTAATAGATTACCACTTGGGTGAAGGAAAACCAGGTTGGTCAGTGCAAACTGGGTGTGTTAATTAAATCCCTTGAAATTAGGAGGTGTGGAGTTTTCATCAATTAGTGGTAATACACAAGCTGATTCTCTCAGGGTACTTAGCTGGTAATGCTGGGAGCTCTGCAAAAACACTATGTGGTGGAGGAAGGTAGGACTTAATTCCAGCTACAGTGGCGCTTACTGAGGGATGGCCTGGACAAAGCTGCAGTGTTAAGGGAAATATCTAATCACAGAAAGGTATCTCCCTAGACCACGAGCTCCCTGATGGTATAGACTGGAACCTCATACGCTGACATTCCCCCCTTTTTTGCCTAGGACAGTGTCTGGCACTTAATGAGCCCTCAGCAAATAGTTGGTGGATAAATAATATCATGGATATAGATAAACCCAGGACAACTTAGCTTCTTGAACAACACAGGATGAAAACTGATACTGTTTTTTTCTTCATTTCATTTAGTTTAGGTCTCCTTGGAAAGTGATCTCTTTAACTTTAGGTCGTAGCTTTCCAGTAGAATATGTATTCCCCACTCCTCATCCAAGTCGTTGCCAGTGATCGCAATTATTACTCAACTTAAAACTTCCTCTCAACTTCTGCCTGCAACTCAAAAGTGCTGAGTTACTATAAATGTCCACTGGATTTTGAAACCACACTTGTAGTCTGTACTCAGTGGGAGGATCATTTCTTTCTGATAACGGACAGGCTTCCAAACAAAGACGTTTCAGGCATACACAGCTTACAGAGGCGACTTGGCTAGGATCTACTGTGGTGAAAATATTTCACATCTGCCAACTCTTTCGGATATGATCATTTCAGATATTTTAAAACTTCAACAAAAGGCAGAAACTAAGTTGAAGGAAGGGTGTTATAATACTCAGATGATGACAACCTTGAAAGTCTATTGAGTGGAGCATCGTCAGTAAGAATTTACTGAATATAGGGCCTTGTTAACTTTTAAGGCTGCAAATATAATTCCCACCCATTTACTGGGGAGACAGAATATATTTATGAAGAGGTAAATAACTATGCAGGACCACTGATTCAGAATTCTGTACGTGCAATCGGTGAATATTTACGTAGATGAATGGGAAGAATTCTACACAGAACATGTAAAACGGCAGATTTCAGTGTCTAACTATAATCATTTATATAATTCAATAAATATGGGTGAAATTGATCTATAAACAAGCTTGGATAGATATGAAAAATTAGTATGTTACTCAAATAAGAATAGGTGCAAATAAAATCATTCTAAACATACGATCCAAAACCACATCAGACATCACACATACATAAAATTAATTAGATTTTAGTTTCTCCTCTAAAACCTGCTTATTTAATATTTCAATATCAAATTAAATGGACTATGGACATGAGCAAAATACATTACTTTAGCAGAGAAAGAATAAATGAGAAGTAAGAAAAAACAACTGCAGATGTTATTTTTTTAGAATTTTGGATTTAGTATATGAATATTTAGTGATTTTAAAAAAATGACACCTAACTAGGTAGCTCAATGGTAAAGAATCCACCTGCCAAACAGAAGACATGAGTTTGATCTTTGGATTGGAAAGATCTGCTGAAGAAAGGAAATGGCAACCCTCTCCAGTATACTTGCCTGGGAAATCCCATGGACAGAGGATCCTGGCAAGATACAGCCCACGTAGTAGCAGAGAGTCAGACATGACTTAGGGGCTAAACAACTTCAACAAGATAGCACTTAAGACTTAAAATGCAAATAAAGCAAGATCATTTGCATGTTATTTTCTTTTTTTTTTTCATTTATTTTTATTAGTTGGAGGCTAATTATTTACAATATTGTAGTGGTTTTTGTCATGCATTGACATGAATCAGCCATGGATTTATGCATGTTATTTTCATTTTGATCACTAGATGGCAGCAACATATTTAAAAATTTCATTTGGGTCACTAGATGGCAGCGAAATAATGACAAAAATGACAAATGAAATGCCATTTGTAGAGCAATAAGGGTTTTTATTTTTAAATCCTGAACACCCTATCTCCTTTTCTCAAATGTTCAGCATTAACCATCAATACCCTATCTGCAACAGAAAAGATGGTGAAGAGTTCTGAGAATTTTCAGAGCCAAATGTGAAGCCAGGCTTCTCTCACGGCTCAGCAGGTAGAGAATCAATCTGCCTACAGTGCAAGAGACACAGGCAATGTGGGTTTGATCCCTGGGTCGGGAAGTTCCCCTGGAGAAGGAAATGGCAACCCACTGCAGTATTCTTGCCTGGAGAATCCCATGGACAGAGGAGCCTGAGTGGGCTATGGGGTCCATGGGGTCGCAAAGAGTCAGACACAACTAAAGTGACTTAACATTAGCCATTATCTTCTGTGAGTTAATTTTACTTCAACCAGTAAAAATTTCTAATGACTTCTTCAATACCTAAAGTCACACTTCTTTCTTTATGTAAGGTCATGAATCCATATCTTAGCAATTCAGATGATACTTGGGAGTTACTATAGTGCGCTCCCCTAATGAGTTTCCTCTGTGCTTGGCATTAGGGAAAAGGCTATTTGAAAACAAGGGTGATAACTCATGTCACATACTTTTCAGCAGGAAAAACAAGCTGTGGCCACACTGAAAACAAGCACAAAGCTAGAAGGACTGATTTGGGGAAGGATCAGAAAATGTTTCTGGAGGAAATTCTATTCTGAACCTCTGCACCTGAGCTTCTGAGAACACGCATGATTAGCAAAATATTCAAAGACTAAACCAGAATAGACAGGTGGGAAACCGTGATGGTCATTCTGTTTTGCTGACGTAGCAGTGTTGGCAGAATAGAGTCCCTTGGAGAGCTCCTGAAGGTGGAAAATCTATCCTCATGGAAAGTGTGGAAATCTCTTGCCATGAAATTAACCTGGGGCTTGTCTGGGCATGGCATAAAGTCAGAATCCTGAATGAGGTGCACATGTCATCCAGCGGGAAGCAACTCTGCTCCAATCGTAGGAAGGAAATAAAACAGTCCAGGCATGAAATCCGGGACCTGGGAGATGACGAGAGAGTCAATTAAGTCCTTTAGATTTGGAGGCATTTAATGGCAACCATCTGACAGCTTGACCGGGCAGATAATCACAGGTAATCAGCCAGGTAAGAGTGAGAGCAGCCGTGCATTCACTGGGGACCCGTGCACTGCAGCGGCGTAGAACCCAGCGATTTAAAAGCTAATTTTAGCCAGGTGAGAATCGACTGTGTGCCGTAAACAAGGAATCAGATTCTCCCTTGTATTTAAGTTATTCCCAGGTAATGCAGCCTTGGAAGCTCAGGAAAAACATTTTGGTCATCAAATGTTTAAGCATGTCCATATATTTCTACCATACTCCCTCAACTCATGTGAAATTTGGTTGGTTCCAAACACGTTTGTTCAAGGGAAGTCATTCCCCCAAGGGCACTTGAATCCCTTGAAAGTGTATCACAAGTGGAAGTGCTTGAAAACACCAGGCAACCTGGGCTTAAAGAATTCGCCCTTCTCGCTCCTGTGTGTGAGATTAGTTTACTGGGACACAAGGCCCCGGAGCAGGGACCTGTC